AGGTATCTTCGATTTACTTGAAAACATTTTTGACTAAATTGGGTTGATAATGAAAGATGAAGACTTATAGGTAGAACTTTCATAAAAAGAGGACTAAATAGAAAAGTTTTGGCAAGGTAGGTGACATACCTAATAATCGTATATGACCGACTGCTAAACATGGAATTCGAACTCAAAGCCTGGTATAGAATTCAAATCTTGAATTTGATTCTCCTCTTACTAACATACATGGTTCGAATCCTAAATTTGATTACTTTCTAACGGCCAACATGAAATCTAAGCCTTAGCACAGAATTCGAATTTCAAACCTAACAGCAGAAAAGATTTAAGGAAAAGATTTTAAGAATCTTTCTCTAACTAGTGGATCACCCAATAGTTATTTGATTTTTGTTATCAACAGTATTATTTGATTGCTTATTCGATTATATCAAGTTTTTCATTATATGTAGTGTATTCATGTGCAAGTGTAAAGCAAAAAATATTTTTCATACCTTCTCTACATGCAGGCACCCTCAATACAAGGGTTGAGAATGAATAATGATACCCATACCAATTGTTTTAATGACCCGGAATAATCCTTCCGTCAGAGTGAAAAAGTTAATACTTGCCCACAATCATTCCCTACTTGTGATTTGATTTTCATATTAAATCTAATTAATAAACCCCATACTAGTTGTTTTTTTTTTTTTTTTTTTTTTGTTGGAGTGGGGGGGGGGGGATACACTTGCAAATAATAATAAGGGAAAAGAGTCCAATAGCCCTCCAACTCTTTCCCAAATAAAGTTTTAGCCCTTCAACAATTAATGTTAAAATTTTGGCCCTCGATCTAATAAAATAGTATATTCGTGACTCTTCTGTCAAACCCAGCAATTAAAATTGACAGAAAGTATCATCTCGTGAGATGCGCGACCAAATATCAAGGACATTAGAGTCTCTAAACAAAGAAATGATTTTTCCCTCCAACAATTTCCATCCCTTTTGCTCCAAAACCCTAGCACCAGCTAAAGAAACAGGACACAATGATAGCATCCCAGTTGAAGATGATGTAGATGAGCCTGGAGACTGCTGGGGTTGGGCTTGCTGCTGTTGATCCGGGCGCCTTCTCTGTACATAGTATCCTCCACTAGGAGCAGATGGAACTGAATTGGTACCAGCAGAATTTGGGGACTGAGACTGCATATAAGGATTTGAGAAAAAGAGTTGAGCTTGCTGCAAGTTCTTTGTTAGTTGCTGCTATTGTTGCTCCTGCTACTGATGCTGCATTTGAGGTTTGGGGTCCACTGGTGGAAGTATTACAACGATGTGAGTGCTTTCAAGAATAGATGGCACATTCCTCCCACCAACAAGAGGTGATTTCTGGCCGGTGCCGATAAAGAAGCTTGGCCTGTTTTACCACTAGCAAAGGCCGATGAAGTGGTTCTTGGGCTTCCACTAGCACCCTTCGAGATTGTTGAAGTTGAAGGCGACCCAACCATCATAGGAGAGGCAAGGGACTGATTAGTGGTGAAAAAGGGGTGGAAATTGTTGGAGAAAAATTCAGTGATGAAAGTGTTTTTAATTTTCTTTGTTTAGAGACTATAATACCCTTGATATTTGGTTTTGCGTCTCACGAGATGATGTTTCCCGTCAATTTTAACGATTGGGTTTGACAGAAGGACCACAAATATACTATTTTATTATATCGAGAGCCAAAATTTTAACATTAATTGTTAGAGGGCTAAAATTTTACTTGGAAAAGAGTTGGAAGGCCATCGGGACTTTTTTCCTAATAATAATAATAATACAAATTGGCTTTCTTATTCCCGTTCCGCTCTCTATTCGGGGATGCGGGCAAACAGTCCTCATCTGTTTCACACTACCACGCTCAATGGGTCATTTTGGTCGGTACAACTGTCCAATTATTCCTATCCTTTTCCTAATTAGTCCAAACTGACCGAGTTATTCCAAGAGCTAGTGGCTGACAGGAATTCCACAACGAGTTTAAGTCAATGTGTCATTATCAACACATCATGCCGTGAATTTCCGTCAACTAAGATGGGCAATGAGATTAAACTTCATCAAAACTAAAACGGTTTATTGAACGACTGTCCATTAATGCTCGCTAAGATGAACTTCAGAATACTCTATTTGGATCCAGGAGTTTTTCAAAAACTAGTTTTTTAAAAATTTTACTCTAAAAGGTACTCTAAAAAATAGTTTAAATTATTTTTAATATTTAAAATATATCTTAAAATATATTTTAAAAACTCTACTACTCTTAAATATTTCAAAATATTTTTAAAAATAACCAAAAATATACTCTAAAAACTCTATTACAATTTCAAAAACACCCCAAAAAACAGCTAATCCAAACGGATTTAGAAAGCAAAAATTAATTAAAAAAAGGAAATTTGTTCAAAATGTCCATCATATTTTATCAAAAATTTTTTTGTCTTACAGTTTTAAAATGTTAACTTTATATCCCTTACAAAATGACATTCACAAAATTTGATCTCAACTTAAGTTTTCGATGACTTTTTAACGTGAATTTACCATATGACTCACATGCAATAATTTTTATGTACAAAAGAGTCAAATTTTACTCTTTTAGTAGCAAAAATAAATATAAATTGGATCAAATCATACTTTTTTAGGAAAAAAATAAATATAGTTCGCGTCATATATCAGTTTTTTATGGGCAAAAGTGAATATGGATTGGGTCATTTATTTAAGGGATAATTTCAGAAAACTCCCCTGAGGTTTCTGACATTTACACTTACCTCCCCTGTGGTTTAAATAATTACACTGACCTCCCCTGAGGTTACTAATCCTTTACAAATTCAGTCCAAATGATTAAAATATTATTTTAGAGAGTGAAATTAGAATTTTGTACCTGATTTGTGCTTTGTGTTACATGTCCAATGAATGATAAAGTATTATAAATTAATTAACAATTAATAAACTTTAAGGAGCGTAATTTATAGGCAAATACGTATTACATATTTAAAGTATCAACTCTTTACGGGTATTTTACTTTCAAATATTTACTTTATTACAAATATTTATTCTCAAATACATATTTGTATTTACTCTCAAATATTTAATTTTTGTTAAACACAAAACCTACCAGTTTTTCTTCTGTAGAAATATTAATATAACACTTTTTCAATTTTAGTTATAAATATTTATGTATTAACATAAATTAAATGATTCAGGATAGAATATCCATAAAGAGCCAATACTTTACTCATGTAATGGAGGATAGAATATTTTATGAGGCCATTTATTTTTTAAAAATATTTAATTTATATTAAATAGATAATCTACTGATTTTTTTTGCAAGAATATTACTGTAACACTTTTTAATTTTTAATTACAAATGTTAATATATTTATCATAAATTAAATATTTGAAAATAAAATATCTGTAAAGAGCCAATACTTTAAATAGGATATGCGTATTTGCCTATAAACTACACTATTTAAAGTAAGGAGTATAGTTTATTGATTTAAATTAAGGAGTGTAGTTTATTGATTTAAGTAAGGAGTGTAGTTTATAGGCAAATACGCATAACTTATTTAAAGTACCAGCTCTTTACAGGTATTTTATTTTTTAATATTTAATTTATAATAAACATATCAATATTTGTAATTAAAAATTAAAAGGTGTTACAATAATATTCTTGCAAAAAGAAAATCGATAGGTTATCTATTTAATATAAATTTAAATTTAAAAAAAAAAAGAAATAGCCTATAAAATGTTAATTTTTTATGGCTTTCATCCATTACACGAGTAAAGTATTAGCTCTTTATGAGTATTTTATTTTGAATCATTTAATTTATGTTAAATACATAAATATTTGTGACTAAAATTGAAAAAATGTTATATTAATATTTCTACGGAAGAAAAACTGGTAGGTTTTGTATTTAACAAAAATTAAATATTTGAGAGTAAATACAAATCTGTATTTGAGAATAAATATTTGTGATAAAGTAAATGTTTGAAAGTAAAATACATGTAAAGATCTGGTACTTTAAATAGGCAATACGTATTTGCCTATAAACTACGCTCGTTAAAGTTTATTAATTGTTAATTAATTTGTAATACTTTGCCATTCATTGGACATGTGACACAAAGGACAAATCAGGTACAAAATTCTAATTTCACTCTCTAAAATAATATTTTAATCATTTGGACTGAGTTTGTAAAGGATTAGTTACCTCAGGGGAGGTCAGTGTAATTGTTCAAACCACAGGGGAGGTAAGTGTAAATGTCAGAAACCTCAGGGGAGGTTTCTGAAATTATCCCTTTATTTAATTGCAAATGAGATCTAATCTTTTTGTCTCTAAAAAAAACCATGTATGGGTCACGTAATGAATTCATGATAAAAAATGGTGAAAAATTTAAATTAGAATCAAATTTTACTAAGTTAATTTTGTAAGAGATGTAAAGTTACTTATTTTAAATATGAAGGACAAAAAATTTATTTGACAAAATGTAAATGACGTTCCCTTAAAAAAATTATATAAATGTAAGGAAAAATAATAATTATTAATACGCATATATACAAGATAAGTTGGATGCAATTTAGATGTGTTAATAAATGTCCATTAGACACCGTTGAAATAAACCCGAACTAAAATTAATGTCTTAAAAAAATGGATGCAAACTCCCGAATGACACTACCTATAGTCCAGTTGAATATGTCCCCTTCCCTGTAGTGTGTCATTTTCTTCATAGTGTAAGAGTAGAAATAGATGTATACATGTATTATTGTCGTTTTGCAAAAACAAAAAATTCAGGAATGGCACTATGTATATGACTTCCCTATTTTCCTTGCGCAATCTACGATTATCTTTGCAGGTACCTTCGACCTTAATTAAAAACGTTTTTGACTAAATTGGGTTGATAATGAAAGATGAAGACTTGTAGGAAGAACCTTCAAATATGGAGACTAAATAGAAAAGTTTCGTTAAGGTAGGTGACCTACATAATAAAATAATCCTATATCACCAATTGCCGTTAACGTTAGGCATTGGTTTGGTAGACGTAAACGTCATTGGTGACCGACTCCTCAAGGAACTCCTGTTTCCCCTTCTAAGTCGGTCATCGCTCAGACTCTTCACCCTATAAATTTCCTCAACTTCCCCTCTTTCTTTCATTCATCCTTTCTTATCACTAATAGTCTTCTGAAATTCTCACCAATTCTTTTATCAAAAGCGGCTTTCTATTTTCTATCCCAACAAGGTAATTGATCTGTCTTCGATAATCTTTAGTAATTCACAGAGTAAATTGTTTAGTTCTTAAATCTATGTTTTGGGCGTTTGGCTGTGAGATTGCTGGTGAATTGGGATTAATCTTGTATTTTTTCTGACGTATCTGTTTGGGTTATTCTGAGATAATTTATTCGTTAATGTTTTCAATTAGTCCTATGATTTTGCTTTAGGGTTTTCGATAGTTTTTTTTTTTTGGATTTTGATGACCTTGCCTACGGTTTTTATAATTTTTTGGAAATTCAATGATGCTTCCCTAGGGTTTTTAATAAATTCTCGATTTTGACAAGTTTGCTCTAGTGTCTTCGATAGCTGTCTGTCAAATAGTTGTTGGTTGTTTTTTCCTGCAGAAGGATTCCTTTTGCTATTGTTTTGTTTGTGCCAGCGATTTGGGCTGGTTTAGGAGTTTCAATTAGTAATAAATGGAATTGATGTGGCAATTTTAGGTTGAGGAATTTGCAATTTAATATATCTGATTTTCGTTCTTCGTTTATTGAGCAGATGCAAATCTTCGTGAAAACCCTCACCGGGAAGACCATCACCCTTGAAGTTGAAAGCTCTGACACAATTGATAATGTGAAAGCCAAGATTCAGGACAAGGAGGGCATCCCGCCGGACCAGCAAAGGCTGATTTTTGCCGGAAAACAGCTGGAGGATGGACGTACCCTTGCCGACTACAACATTCAGAAGGAATCCACCCTTCATTTGGTTCTGCGCCTGAGGGGAGGCATGCAGATCTTTGTTAAGACCCTTACCGGAAAAACAATTACTCTTGAAGTTGAAAGCTCTGATACAATTGATAATGTCAAGGCTAAGATTCAGGACAAAGAGGGCATTCCCCCAGACCAGCAGAGGTTGATTTTTGCTGGCAAACAACTTGAAGATGGCCGCACCCTTGCTGATTATAACATTCAGAAGGAGTCGACCCTTCACTTGGTGCTTAGGCTGAGGGGAGGGATGCAAATTTTTGTGAAGACCCTCACTGGAAAGACTATCACTTTGGAGGTTGAGAGCTCAGATACAATTGACAACGTGAAAGCTAAGATCCAGGATAAGGAGGGAATCCCTCCGGATCAGCAGAGGCTGATCTTTGCTGGCAAGCAGCTTGAAGATGGCAGGACTCTTGCTGACTATAATATTCAGAAAGAGTCAACTCTTCATTTAGTGCTGAGATTGAGGGGTGGAATGCAGATTTTTGTCAAGACGTTGACAGGGAAGACCGTAACTCTTGAGGTGGAGAGTTCAGATACTATAGATAATGTGAAGGCAAAAATTCAGGACAAGGAGGGCATCCCACCAGACCAGCAAAGGTTGATCTTTGCTGGTAAGCAGCTTGAGGATGGCCGCACGCTTGCAGATTACAACATCCAGAAGGAATCAACGCTCCATTTGGTTCTCAGGTTGAGGGGGGGAATGCAAGTTTTTGTTAAGACTCTGACTGGAAAGACCATCACTTTGGAGGTGGAGAGCTCAGATACGATTGATAACGTCAAAGCTAAGATCCAGGACAAGGAGGGGATCCCACCTGACCAGCAGAGATTGATCTTTGCTGGTAAACAGTTGGAAGATGGAAGGACTTTGGCAGATTATAACATCCAGAAAGAGTCCACCCTTCACCTTGTCCTGCGTCTGCGTGGTGGTTTCTGAATGCTGCATCTATATGCAGTTGAAGGCTGTCTCTTGAAGATGGCAGTATTTTGTGTTGTCTGCTTGACTTCTGTTCGTGTTCAAGCCATGGGTCCTAATAACTTCTCAAGCGTTTTTTAAATGTATAGTTTAGGGATTTGGTGGTGGTGTTCCATGTTTGTGATGGGAATTAATGGTGGTGTTATTTGATTTGTTAATAAAGTTCAGAAGTTTTCAATATTCGCGCGCCCTGGAAATTTTTGGTCATTTGAAGTTTTTTGTTTTTTCCATTCAATTACTACCTTATATGCTTCGAGATGTGACAAGAAAATTTGACAAAAGCCACAGCCTACTTTTGATTGCTATTAGCGTTCTCTCATCGCCTTGATTGCACTTGCTTATTAGTGTTCTCTCATCGCCTTTGATTGTGCTTCCTAATGAGATTTAATTTCAGTGTTTTGATGTATGATAGTTCGAGCTTGGAATTTTGGTCATTTGAAGTTTTTGTTTTTCCCATTCATTACCATCGATATGCTCGACAAGAAATGCAAGTTGGCTCTTGATTGATATTAGCATTCTCTCATTGCCTTGATTGTGCTCGCTTATGAGATGTGATTTCAGCGTTTGGTGTATGATAGTTCGGTTTATTGGTGAGTTGTGATCCTTTTGGCAGTGTTGTTTAGACTTTAGAGATGTCTAATGGTAACTATAGCTGTTTATTGCAAGTAATCTGCACAATTAGTTCCTTTGGGATTTTGCTAAGTAGAACTATAGGTGGATTTTATTGGTCTGTAACCAATAATTGCCTTGCGGTTTTCTTTACTATAAGTTAACGCATTGCATATGTGAACTAAACAAACCGAAACTCAAGCTTGTGTTTGGATTGTATTTTTCGTCATTTTTCATGGAAAAATTATTGTAGCGATTTGATATATGTGAGGGAAAAAGGTGATAGGGAAATGTGATCACGGAAAACGATAATATTTTCCGACAGAAACAAGCAATCCTAGATTTTCATCAACTTCCTTTTACAAGAATCCAGTTACCGAGGATGTCACATCTTGTATTTGTCTGAGGACTTGGACAAGTTGACCATAGTATACCGTTTGATCAAGTTGAGATTACCAGGTTGAAGAAGTGGTTAATACAAAAGCTTTTCTTCTTCCTTCTTCCTTCTTCAGAAGTGGTTAAACAGAGTATTCTATTCTCTAGATACAAACGATAGATTTACGCGCTTTTTAAAGGCAGACCTCCTGGTTTACATGCACTAATTTTCTGATCTTAAACTTTTTTTTTTTTAAAAAAAAAAGAGCTTCTGTTTGAACTAAATCATGGGCCAAATGCCCAAAATTAAAGGAATAAAAGGTGCTGCTGGGAAGCGTTCTTTATTTGGAGTGCACCTAGGACGGAGTCCAAGCTCAGACTATTGTCCCTTCTTGCTGCTGCTGAGGCTGATGATGATGACATTTTCTGATCTGGGCTGGGATTATTTTATCATATGAAATTCAAGGATTTCTTTTTTCCTCTCTTCTCGTATGGGGGAAGGCGAAGGAGAAGATGGAGGTGGAAGTGGTGGAAGAGGTGAAAGTTTTCTCTTTTCTGGGCCTCGGTGGGCAAATATTTCTAAGCTGCGATCACCCTGTTATTTTTGGCCTTGGTTTGGGATGCAGCCATTAAGGGGTGTGTCCTCACAGTATCAATGTGATGGTGCCATGCTTAGGGGGTGCTGTTTGTGTTTTGTTGTGACTGAGCAACTGTTTGTGTGTGATTTTACAGGTGTCATGTCATGTTGGGAGTGAAAAGTAGGATTTCTTTAAAAACAAAAAACAAAGGAGAAAGCAAAACACTTCTTTTAATTGATTTGTCTAACAGGTGCTCTATTAACATATATTTCAGGTATTATTTTTTAAAAATATAAAATTAATTAAAAAATAAATATAAAAAGAAGTAGGCAAAATTAAATATAAATGCAAGAGATGATAATGATTGTTAATATATATATATATATATATATGATAAGTTAGGTAAATATTAAATATGTTGCCGAGGGCTCTAAGAATATCCGTTAGAAAAATTCTTTTTTTTTTTTAATGTTTTTGCAATTTGCACTGTGGTCTAAAATAGGGATAGAGGGAAATCCAATTATCAAGTATGGGAAATCCAATTACCATTGAATTCAAATCCAAGGGACACCAAATCCTTATTGTACGAGTGAAAATGAAACAATCTTGATTTTTTTACTTTTCTTTTCCTTATACATAGTACAAATAACAAAGCTAGCAGGAACTTCATACCACATTATCACATTTATTTATGCATGCAGATACTAATATGATGATGCTCACACTATGGTTGACTTGAATTTGGAGATATTTCTGTTCTACTCTTTTGAGTGGCGTCAAATTCTTGATTTGGAGCCTTTGTGAAATATATTGCAATCTGCCTTGGATCCGAATTAACTTCATGTGCTATAAGTTTGTGATTTATGCTACAAAAATATAGTGAATGTTTGATTGTGTGAGAAGTTTTTATCCACATTAATGAGGAATGGATACAAATTGGTTGAACACAAATAAAAGAAAAACTGTTTAAATGAAAAAAAAAATGCTCTACTCTTTGGTTTTTAGAATTAACAAAGCACTAGATATATGTCCAATAACGGCTCCGTTTGAGTTAGCTGGTTTTTGGGGTGTTTTTGAAATATTTTATTGTAGTAGTATATATGAAAAATTTTTACTATAAACTTTTTTTGAAATATTTCATATAATAATATGGATGGGATGTTTTTTGAGTTATTGTATATTATTATAACATTGTATTTGAAAAACTTATTTTTTGAAAAAATAGTCAATCCAAACGGAGTCAGGATTATTGTAACGAGAAGGTGTATCTACTTGTTACTATGGCATGTACTTCCATTTTTTGTATGTAACTATGGTATGTACTCGAGTTAAATATGGACTTGCACTTGGAACCTTAATATTTGAGGAAAAAGACTAACAGGAACTAATTAATTTGGCAGATACTTTGTTGTTGATTTAATGCTCATTGTAATGCATTAACTACTCGTTTTCTTTGATACTGCACAGGAGATATTATTGAATTTTAGAACTCCATCTCTATTTCATGGTAAAGCAAAGGAAATTAGTTCATTATAGGAAGGGTTTTTTTAATGGTTGCCTTTGTTACTACACTTAAAATCCACGTAACTTATCATGTATATATACATATTAATAATATTACCCTCCCTTGCATTAATATATTTTTTTCGATTTAAGCTTTTCTATCTTTCCTTGTAGTTATTTATTTTCTCTAATTAATTTTATATTTTCAAAAATATGATGCCTGAAATATATCTTAACAGGTGCCCAATACCCTTATAACAAAATAAGAGTCTTTAAACAGTTTGTTAAAAAAAAAAAAAGTTCATGATATGTATTTTCTACCATTAATGCAAATCTCATGAATAAAATTATGATAATTATATTATATAAAAATTTTTTTTTTTTATTCACAGATAAGATGTACTTCAATTGCTAGACTTTTAGAAATATAAGATTAATTAGAGAAAATATAAGATTAATCCATAGCCTAATTCGTGCTCTTCAAGTCGTTTGAAATTTTAAATTATACAATAAATTACAATAAAATTTTGAATAAACATCCAAAAAAACTCAAAGGGCCTTTAATTGAACTCCTTCATTGAACACTCCCCACAGGAAACTACATGGAAATGACAAAAAAGGTCATGTACGTAATTTACCAAGAGAGACATTTGTGTCCTTTCACCAAATATAACTTTTTTTTCTATTTCAAATTGCATCATTGCCGAAGTAAAATCAAAACAAGTAAAATTTTATGGGCCACTGATAGTAACCAAACTTGACAAACCCATAATTCTGTAAGGCATATTAATATACAAACATTGCAGGCCTCCATTAATTTATCCTTTCACTTCTTCATGCTCCAAGAAGATCCCCCTCTTGTTTATTGGAATCTAGACTCGTCATCATCTTGTTTAATTTTAATTTGGATGAATAGGAATGATTATGAAATATAAATGATAATTTAAAAAAATTGATTATGTTTTTGTACGTTATTGTCTTAGTGTGTGCATCTATTTTTCTTAGTGCCTATATTTGTTGTTTTCTGGCCTACAATATATGGTGCAATTGATAATGACAATTATATAAGACACAGAGGAGCATACTTTAGTTTTGGTTGCAAATTGCAAACCTAAACCTTAACTTTGAGGATTAATTTTTTATACACTGATAGTGTATACACGTTCACCATTAGATGCATGACACATAAATCAAATTTGAATTTGAAACTCAAATTTTGCATATGTGTTGCATATCCAAACGTGATAATGTATACAAATATAAGATTTTCTCTGACTTGAATTATTTAGCCAGAAAATTTGAAAAAAAAAAATGTTTCTGGCTCAATGCACTTAGACTCTTAGAAATTTAGTCTCCAATCTTTTTAAATTGACAAAATTTGTTCCTTTGGTTAGAACAACATAGCACATGAGGACAATTGAGGGCTCCTAAAACTAGATTCTCATAAATACTTAGATGCCAAAATTTGATTTGTGAGAGATACAATTGAACAAGGAATAATATATAAGAAACCAGAGGTTTTAACTCTTCTTGAATTTAACCGTATCGAAATCCCAAATTGGAAGAACATAATTTGTGTTCTCACTATGCAACTTTTATAAGGATTGAGTAGAAAGAGCAATAATTGTCTCCTCTCTAATCTTGATTATTACTACCTCGTTTGTGGTTCTGTCCATTGTCAAAAACTCGTATACCTAAAAATGACCAGTTCTATTGATTTGCAAAAGGGCTATTTAGTCTAATTGCAGAAAATTTGGGGGCGAACCCAAGCGAAGAGACATGAAATGGCCCATAACAAGATAATGATTTGCAGGATTGAAGCATAAGAAAAACTTATCATAAGACCCTGCATTGTCTTTTCCACTTTTTTTTTTTAACTATTTTTCAACTTTTGTATAATGATGCACTTTTTCTTCATAGATAGGGATCAATTGAAGCAGAAACTCTCCACCCTTGTTTTAGGAACCATATGCTGCGAGCAGCCTACTCAGACGAATAATGAGGTAAAGTTCTTTCTCTTTTTCTTTTTCTTTTTTTTTTCAAATGAGCTAAAGTTAGAAATGGATAAAATGAATATATTCCAGAGTTTAATTTGTATTGTAATCTTTCTTCAGT